CCTACACGTAACCGACCCCCAAACCCAATTCTGGTTATCAAGGCCATAGTTGGATCTTTAAAAAACCTTTTCTTTTTCCAATATTTTGAGTAAAATATTAGTGGCGACTCCATGAACCTATTTTCAAAATCCATTAATTAAGGATTAGTCTGGTGTCCGGACATTCCTTAATTAATGAGACTTTTAAAAGGATGAATAAAACCATATGTCGCGAGATCGGAAATTTTCGGATTGCGACAGATGGCGACTCCACTGGGGACATTTTAAGAAGGTCAGACCCAATAAATGATGAAGTTAGTAAAATAGGAATAATAATTTAAATATTTTTTCCCCTTTACTTTGTTTTTTTATTTGTTTTGCTTGCATATCTGTTTGCTTGTTTAAATTCTAAACCTGTTTGAATTAAATTGTACACAATCCTTTGCACACAACAGTTCCCCCTACACCCAGGGGCATGAGGGTATTAAACATAGGGAGTGATTAACGTACGACAGGCCTAAGTTTCGCCTTGGAGCCTGCGAGCCTTGTCGAAAATCACACTCAAGGTGATAACCGGTTACTCTAGCCCGAAATATTGCGACAGACCTTAAAGTTTGTCAGGTGACGGCAACAGAGATACTGGGTCCCTATAATGGGACCACCTTGAGAACCTTGAAAATCAGTGAGATTATTAGCATGTATAATTTTGACGATAGAGTTATTTAAATAATTTGTCAACATAATAAATCATTATCCATACGATATTTTTTTTGGATAATTCATTTTTTTTCCTCTTATTTTACACATGTTTTCCCTTTAATCAATTATTACTATATAGTGAGACAAATCACTTTCCCGCAATTATGTGCATACAGGGAACATATATAAATGAAAGTTTAGAAGCACAGTCACAAACAAGCAGTATTATGTTTAAATTATCGCTTATGAATTATAAGCTTGGGCTTAATACCCCAAGCTTCGAGCCTGTAAACTGAGATTTATCTACGGTTAATATGTTCAACAATGCTATATGTTGAGCTTAACATAATTTTTACTCTCAATTCTCAATTCATGATATAGGTCAAATCAATTTGTTTCTTCCCACTATGTTGTAGGACTTGTCTAAATCACCTTCCAAAAGTAAATACAAATCCAAAACTCCTCCAAACAACTTCTGAACTAAAGATAAAATGAAAAATACAAATAAATACCTTTAATACATTTATAAGAACCAATTCAAGGAGGACATGAAAAATGAAGAAACTTAATCTTAATCATACAACTAAATATGAGTAATCAATAAATCAAGATTGATTATACTAATATTCTTAACCTTCCCTTTGAGATTAAACAGTCAAGATTAACTTTTCTCAAACTCTCGCACTATAGTACAGCATACACACTAGTATTCTGTGTGTATGTACATCCATGGTTCACAGAAATAAGGAAACACAGTTTTCCCATATCAGAATGTAATGATTTAAATACAGTTATCACCTTGGTTAAATCAACAATTAGAAAAAACTGGCTTAATCTCACCTCATGGATCCCCTAATCACCAATTTTACCAAGAAATATCCAGTAAGAACTCTAGTCAATATATAGCTATAAAAATAATCACATATACAGCAGCAATAACCAGGGTCATCCATGTAAAAAAAAAAAAAACCAGTTAAAAGTTTTGGTTTCAGGAGATACCACGCTCTAAATTACTACAATACATCTCTAAATTACTACAATACATCTCGATGCTAACCAGGGTCATCCATGTAAAAAAAAAAACCCTGTTAAAATTTTGGTTCCAGGTACTACCCTGCTCAAAATTACTACAATATAGCTTGACTCTTAAGTTCATGGCCATGAGCTGTATTTTGATTTCAGGAGCTAGCTATTGATTGACCATGTTCCAGTATAACTGCAACTTTTCACTTAACATAAATTCACAGTCATTGTGCCATTATTTTCCCCAAAACCAAAACAAAACAATCATGAAGTCGAACATCTTCTATTCAGCATCTGATTGACCAACTTTGCTGCTGTTACTAGAATCCTAACTAACTTGCATTTTCTTCATTTTCTTTTCCAAGACTTCCTCAAAGTTGCTTCTTGACAGTGAAAGAACCTGGTTCAGCAGTAACTTTGCTCCAGATTTTTTCAAAATTGCAAATCTAGGCTTAATCCTTTCCTCTAAACTGTATCCAAAATATTGAGGGAACTTCACTAGTTCAGATTTTGGGTAGCCTGTGGTCACAAAGAAATCCCATTTTGGAATCAAATTTTCAGTCAAGCTGAAAGTATACAAGGCTCCATATCTTGAAATCATGGTCCCAATTTCTTCCAAAGTGTAACCCCTCTCCAAGAAATATTCTGTTACAGGCTTTAGGTTGGCCTCAATACTAAGACCAAAATTCTGTGGGCATCTGAAAAGAAGAATTCCAACATCAACTCCCAAAGAACGGAAGTACTTAGCCGTGGGTCGGAGATTGTCCTCTACACTGTAACTAACAATATTGGGGCAGCGAGTTAAAATCTTACCTATACTCTCTTCTGAGAGGCCCAATTCAAGGAGAAAATATATGCTTTCCATCACTTTCTGCCTGCTATAAGTTAGCAAGGCTGGGAAGCGATAGATCACCTTTGGCCATTGTTCCTTGTCAACACCCAAAGATTCAAAGAACTTCATGGTGGGTTTAAGATTTTCAGATAGACTGATCCCACATAATTGAGGCCTTTTAATGAGGATAGTGGGAATGTTCTCTTTTGGCACTCCCAGTTCAAGAAAAAACTCAACCACTGGCTTAATTTTACCCTCCAAGCTATAGTAGGCAAAAGATGGGAATCTGCGTGTGATACCCCTAATTTGCTCAATATCCATACCAAGTTCCATAAGATAGACAATATGAGGGCGAAGACTGCCACCATCTGTGTCTACCTCACTCACTCTAGACACAGCTTTAAGCTTCTTAGAGTCTAACACTGGACTAGAAGGAGGAATTGGCACAGCTGATTTATCCTTAACAGGTGGATTTGGATAGCTTTCCACTATATCCACTAGAATGGCTCCATGCTCTTTAAAGAGAGATTCAAGATAAGGGATAAGAGCGTCCCTGATCTCCAGAGTTGTAAGCTCTCTCCCTGTTTATGACAATGAAACTGTGATATCAGGTTACAACATTGAAGAAAGTTTCAAAAATAGAGTAATTTGTTGTTGTGACAGAACCTGCAAGATACCAAGATTTGTGCTTAGAATGAAGCTTTGAGACAAGGTGATCAATGAAAAGATCTGACTTGTTGATGGTTCTAGCAGCAAGCGCTTTCCTCAAACCATGTTTCTTCAAAAACAAGGTTAATACAGCCTTGGCTTCTTCCTTTTCTGCTGCTAACAAAGTGGGAGACACCACTTTTAAATCCAATGAGCCATCTATGCCTGAGTAAAAAGTAACACCACGAAAGGTCTATGCTTATTAGAATAGTACATAAACCTCATGTAAATGGAAACATCTAAAAGGAAAAAGAAAAAAAAGAATGCTAACCAGATTTTGCCAGGCAAAAGAAGACCTTTGTAGGAAAAGAAAGTTGAGTCCTGACGTAAAATATTCACAAGGGGAAAAAATTTCATGTTTCTAAGAAGTATCAGAAAAAAAAAAAAAAAAAAAAAAAAAAAAAAAAAAAAAACCGAAAACATATATAAAAGAATGGAAACCCTTGCATTTGCTAATAGACAGTGAGACAAAAAGAAAAGAAAAACAAGAATATATCGATGTAGTCAAAGTTATTTAGAGTCGGTTTGAATAAAACTTCTTCATAAGCACTTATTAGAGAAGAAAATATAAAGAAAAAATAAAGTAAGTTTTTTTCATAAGTTAAAATAAGCTTATAAATAAATTAATTTGTAAATGTTTTCTCATATAACTTTTACAAAAAAAAATTTAACTTGTACAAGAATTATTTCAGAAGAAGTATAACTTTTCCATTTCTCTTTCCTATGTTCTTCTCTTTTAAGTATTTCAGAAGAAGTTTATCCCAACAAACTCTCAAAAACGTTTGGGAAACAACTTAAAGTGCTAATTGAATAAGTGTTTAACACACAAGTGCTTATGTACAAGTTGTTTCTATAATTGCAAAGAATAAAGTTAGAGTGTTTTCATTTAAATTATAAGTTGTTTACCTAAGTATCCAAGAAAGCTTATTGAAATAAGCTGAAAACAGCAACTTATGAACGTATCATAATTCATAAGCTATTTTCATGAGTTCTCCTAAAAACATACATAAGTGCTTATGTCTTAAGATAAGTCCATTGTAAACAAGCTCATCCAAAAACATCCTACGGCCATTTCAAAGAACTTATAAAAATGGCTCACTTTTGAACTTGTTTTAATAAGATTTAAAAGGAAAATTTGTTAACATAAATCATTTATAAAATAATTCTAACTTCTTCAGTAACATCTTACTAATCCTCCTACATACTAAATATAAAAAAGTAATAATACTTTTCATATTTCCAAGACACTTATATTTTTATTTAAGTTTAATTATTCTTTTGTCTCCAAAGTTTCACAATCTCGGCAAATTCTTTCCCGAATAAATTTTTTTTCCACAAACCGTGTTACTAACTTCCAAAATGTTGCAATTTGTCTTAATTGTGGCAGTTCGTAAGATTGTGTAACTTCGAGGGGAAAATGCAATTAAATCTAGTATTTAATACTTTTTAATACAGTATTAAAATTTAAAAAGATTTATAGAAGGATATTCTATTCTTCTCCTTTTTAAAACTTATGTTAGTAACCAAACTTTGTGATTATGTTGTTACAAGAACTTACAAAACCAATACTTTATCCAAACCCACACCTTAGACAATTCTTATTTGGCTTATGACATGGTTCACATAGACCCATGAGTTCCTTCCTACCTCTCGATTCACTATCTTGGGGTTTTGAAATTGACCCAAAAGAACAACATAAAAAAATGTACTAAAATTGGACACGGGGCATCAAGGTTTTAAATCATGATCACAGTTTCGTCACATTTCTTGATGTTGTGAGAAACTGCGAACAAATGCAGCTAATACTTTGCATATACACTTCAAAACCCAAAATGCATGAATTGAATGAAGGAGTGAAGAAAAAGAGTACCTTGTTGTAGTGTGAGAGAAAAATCTTGTAGAATGAAGATGGTGGGGTGGTTGAATTGAAGAGAAAGTTTTCATCTTTGTAGGTTTGAGTTAGTGTGATATGGCAAATGAAAAAGAAAGGTTTATTCATTCATTGTATCACTCTGTGCGGACAACAGACAAACACAAAATCACGGGGGATAAGGTACTGTGGATATCTGCCACGGATGAAATACTTTGCATATGATTCGTTTACTATGATACTCATTTTATAAATTATCTTTTACTTTTATCTTCTTTATTACTTAATTTATCATATTTTCGCATTTCTGCCTTCTTTTTTTTTTCTTATCTCTTTGTACGTAAAATATTGATTTATAAAACGATAAAAATTATCATCTATCGCTCAAAGTCAATATTATAGATTAAGCTGCAACAAACTTCACATCTCACTCAAGTTACAGACAGGTGAGCTAGGTTAGAGAACCATTAAAACTTGGAGAGGTGATAATTGTACCTCCAAAAAAATGTCTATGGATGAAAAAATAAATTAATTACAGAAAAAAATTAAAAAAGATAGAATATATATATATATATATATATATGACAAATAATGTGATGAAAAAAATTTAAGAATTGAAATGAGAGAGAGAGAAAAAAAATTAATAAAAGAGAAAATTAATAAATAATAAGTATTTTTCAAAAAACTGTCTGCAATAGTTTCAAGGTGAACAAACGTATTTTAATCCAGTAAAAACTAAAATTTCCAATTCTCTAATATATAAAGATTAAAGACTTAACATACACTTGAAACAAGCAATGTGGAGCTCAGAGAGTAGAGAGTAGAGAGAATTGAGAAACGTGGATACCATTATAACATTAGTGAGACTTTAAAAGCATGATGTTGTAAGTTGAATCTTGGCGACTTTTATTGGTCATGTTAAAACATGTATGTGATATTCAAATATCATAATACCAACAAATGCTAGAAAGTTCTAGTGAGGTTCATTTCACATTAACTATGAAACCTTGAAATGATGAGATAAATCTGAGTTATTTCACTATCATGAGAACGAATTGATCAGATAAACATAAATTTAAAAATGATTATTATTTTTCAAGAATACAATCCTGCTGACCATTATCGATAATCAGAGATTAATATGCAAGTTTTTCGAGGACAAAATTTAAATTCTCCAATCAAAACATAACGTGTATTAATTTTACTCGTAAACTTGTGAAATTTAGAAAGGAGGATAAGGTAGCTAAAAGGTAATACTTGTATCATACAAGTTTCTATTGGAGAACACTACGAGCTCTTGATTCTTAAACTTTTTTATCAGAGCTTTCTCCTTCATTCAATTATGGCAAAAACATCATCAGACGAGACCACTGCTTTTGTCAAACTGATGAACATATTCTTCCGCATCAACAAAAAGGGAAAAAAAATTGAATTACCAAGTGCGATGCTCTCAACTTTTACAATTAGTGGAAATTGTTTCAAAATAAAAAATAAAAAAATTCACCCATTTTAAAAGATGTGAACAGAATGATAAGGAGAAAGGATAACAAATTAGTTCCAGCGAATTCTTTCCCACACCTGGGAGAAGAAAATAGAAGCATCTCCTATTTTAAACAATCCAAATTCCAAATAATGGAAATTGATGTGATTCTATTCCATTTTCTTCCATTCCATCCATTTCTAATCCATCAATCCAAACATACCCAAAATGAAACCATGATATCTATTTTGAGTTCAACAAGAGCTTACTTTTTAATCATAGACTCTAGGAAAATTGCTTTAACTTGACATCAGAAACAAAGGAACAAAATCACACATTAGCATTGATCACTTCTTTGATTGGAAACATCTTACATAAAACACAAACAGCTCCAAAGAAAGCAACAAAGACAATAAAAAAAAAATGCTAATCGCTTGAGTAATCATCATCATTCTCTTCATGATCAGCAACAACTTTCTCTATAAACCGTTTGCGGACTCCTTCAATGACAGCCTGTCTTGAATGCTCATTTCTATTATGGCCATCATTAAGTACAGGATCCGATTGGCACAAGACTAATGCAACACCTGATATTCCAGAACATGCAAAGAATTCCATGTATTAGATAACCACAGAACAAGTCTGGAAAAGTATTACCACTACAACTTTATTAGAAATTTAAAAGGTAAGAGACGGATTGTCATGAGGGAAGAAGAATTGCAATCAAGGGTCCCAAGTTCAACTAGATAAGAGAAATTAATGTTTATACTGCCTTTAATCTCGTAAGCTTAACTGGCAGACATGGAAGAGTTACAAGTTTCACTAGTACGGCAGTAAATACATGGTCACATGCTTTTCCATTTACAAGTAAAGAGGTATGGAGGCTGGTAGATAACAAAATCCAACATTGATAATATTTATAGTATAATATTGTGTTAAATATAATAATGTAGTCACAATGGTGTAGACAAAAACAGAATCTGACTAATCAGGCAGATTATTATTAGAATTACATTCACAACCAAAAATAAACACCTTTCAACTATTTTCTATATGTAAAAGATAAAAAGCATCATTTCTAGGGGTAAACAAAGTTAACAAGAGCCACTAATCAAACAGCTAGCCCTTAATTCCATTTGTGAAAGCAAATTATAATTTTGGGGAGCAATATGCCTTTCATACTAAGAAGAGGTAAACAAAGTTAACAAGGGCCACTGATCAAAGTAAACTAAAACAGAAATGAAGAGGCAGACATTCTGAGACATTAATACCTTCAGGAGTGCATCTTCGCCCAAAACTATGCAAACCCACATAATTTCCTTTGACTGCTCCATTGTTGTAAACCAATAAAGTAGGAACATTTCGATCTGGGTAGTTTGGAATGCAATCAGTAGATATTATCTTCACAAATTTTGTTGCAGGATATTTTACTGCTAATTCTTCAATGCTTTGCAACAACAACCCACATTCAGGAATCCTATCACAAAATCGCAACAAAAATCAGCACATGATACATCATACATGACCCTTAAAAACAAGAATCAAAGAAATCCTAAAGCATACCCATCCTTGTATAGGACTACAACCACCCAAACATCAGATGGAGCCTGTGAAACCTCTCGAATGAAATCAGATCCTGAAATGGGAATCACTGATCCAAACCTCAAAACTTTAGCTGCCTCTTGCATCTCAGCCAACCTCTTCTTCCTATCACAGAAAAACAGTTCAATTAAAAACAAGCAGAATAAATACTAACATAAAAGTCACCTAATTTTGCTTTCTCCTAAACTCATAACCAATCTACTCTCACTTCTCAAACAAACTCGTTGACTTAATGAACAAATCATCAAAAACTCCACATAACGAAAGGGTAAATAAGCAAACTCCAACGCATTAATTGCCTATAAAATCCTAAATCCACAACTATTCCCAACCAAACTGTATTCAAGAACATAGAAAAATAAACAAACAAAATAAAGTCTCAGACAATTGTTCTCTACAAAACAACACAAAACCCCCCACCAAAAAATTCACGAAAAAATTGAAACTTTATTAATCCCCTACCATATTGGGGGAAAACAAAACCGACCCACGAAAGAAAAACTTTTTAAATTCACTAAACACCAAATTATTCTTTGCGGGTAACAGAAAGGTGGGGCGGGGGGGGGGGGGGGGAGAGAAGGAGCAGAACCTGTATTCTTGGAGGAAGCGATCATCATCGAGGTCATCTTCGAGGTCTTCGAGTTCTTCGGAGGTTTTGGAATCGAGCCAAGTTTGGTCTTTGGGTTGATGATCAGAGGCAGGGGTGAAAGGTGGGGGCTTGAAAGCGGGTGGTTTTTCTGGCAAATTTCCAAGCTTTCTCTGAATATCGTCCCATTGAGTAGAGGCTCCTTCTAAGTCCTTGTACACGAAATGGTAATCACCCATTCTTCTCTTCTCTCCACAAATCTGGATTTTGATCAAAGATTCATTTTCCCTTTTAAGTTTTAACTTCTAACCAACAAATGAAATCCGGGTGAAGGGTGTGTTGTGTTTTTCGGCTTCACGCACTTATATAATGAGGATCTTTTGTGTGTTTTGGGAGATGCGTGCAAGCGAGATAGAGAATTAAGAATAGAAAAAGAAAATTGGTTGAGTGATTCTAGCAAACCATTAAAATAATAATAAAATATTAGTGGAGAGAATTAGAAAAAGTTAGAAAGAAATTCTTTGATAAGAGAGCATGAAATCTAATGTCACAATAAAGTTCAAAATCATCTCCATCCAAAATAAATAAAAACAACAAGCACGGAACTAGAGAAAACGAACCTCACCTCAACTCTGTCGTGGAAATAATCGACGCGCGCAACCTGCTGTGGAAGGATGGACAAGAACCGCCACCTGAACAATGCTAGTGGGTTCGGGATATAAGATTGGAAATGGGATTCTTTTTTTTTTTTTTTTTTCTGTATAGCTTTAGAAATAGAAAGGGATCCACGCTCTCGGTTTTTCATCTTTACTTTCTTAATAAAATAAGTAAATACTATATTATGTTTTAATATTATTATAATATTGGAAATTGGATTTTTTTTTTTTTTTTTTTTTTACTGTATAGCTTTAGAAATAGAAAGGGATCCACGCTCTCGGTTTTTCATCTTTACTTTCTTAATAAAATAAGTAAATACTATATTATGTTTTAATATTATTATAATTATATTTTTTTAAAAAAAATATTTTCATAAATATTAAATTTAAATACAGTTTTTCGAAGATGATATTTTAAAATATAATTTAAATATATCAATATATATTAAAGAATATTAGAATCATATTATAAAATATGTAATAAATATATTCTTATAATTAAATTAATAATTCAATTTAAAGAAATCAATAAAATTCTAAAAAATTTTACATTATTATTTAATAAATTTTTAGACAGGAAAATAATTCATTTGAATTAATTTAATAATCAACTTATATATTAAATACAAACTTCTATCATACGTAAAAGTGTTTTTAAAATTTTTCTTTAATAAGTGAATATTTAGATTTTTTTAACTTCTTACCTAATTCAATTTTTATTTATTTTAATTATTTATAATTTAAATTTTAATATTTTAAAATAAATTATATATAAATAAAAATAATATTATGTTACAATATAAATAAATTATCAATTTTTATATATTAAATACGAACATTTATTTGTTTATAATATTTTCAAAGATTTTTCTTGATTTTTAGGAATATTTTTTAATTTCTTATTTAATTTAATTTTTATTTATCATGATTATTTATTAATTATATTTTAACATTTTGAAATAAATTATCAGTAAGTAAAGATAATATTGTACTACAATTTAAATTATTTATCATATAATTGATATATTTAAAAATATCTATTTATGTTTTAAATATGATTTTTATATTTAAATATAATATTTATTTATATATATAATTTATTATAAATTTTAATTATATATAATAAATATTTAACTTATACATTACACAAGCTAAAATACTAATTTTAGTGTAAATTGAAATTTTCTTAACAAATATATGATTATGATTAAAATCTTAAAAACATAGTTACAAATTAAAAATGAAAATTAATTTGAACACTTAAGTTTATTTACTGCTAATTTAAAAAAAAAAACGTAGTTTTTTTATTAGAGAGAGAAAAAAAAGGAAAGAGACTAATGCTCCTTAAAAGTAATAGTTCCTATAGCATCAGCAAATATCATACGATCCATATCTAATGGACAAGATGTGAGGATTTTCAAAGAGTAGTTCTCTAGGTTCCTTGGTTTGCTAGCCAATCTGTACAAGTGTTCCCTTCTCGGAGAGTATGTTGGAGGATGATGTTCTAATCTTGAACCATGAGTGATCTAACTGCTTTAATAAGGGGTCCATGAGGGTGATTTTCATTTACTTCATTAGTAACTAGTCTGATAGCACTCAGAATCAGATTCGCATATGACATGTTGATAGCCTTTCTACCAAACTATCTTTAAACCATTGTATATAGCATGAAGTTCAGTCACAAGTGAAGAGTTAATATGTAACGTAGTAAGTATTTTAGAAGGTCATGAGTGATTTAGTAGCCCAAAACGGGTCGTTCTCAAACTGGAACGGGCCGTTCAAACTACTAAATAGGCCTATGAATCTTGGAATGGAACGGGCCGTTCCAAAATGGTCATTGTGAGTTAAATTCAACTCTAGAACGAGCTGTTCTAGTTTTAGAACGGGTCGTTCTAGACGTGCCAGAACGAGCCGTTTTAGTTTTAGAACGGGCTGTTCTGCATGTGAATTTTACACATGATGAAGGAGCCCAAGTGGCCCGTTCTGAATTTGAAACGGGTCGTTCTGGCCACTTCAGACTTCTATAAATAGAGGTTGTGTAGTTGAAGAGAAGGAGAGGTTTTTAGAGAGATGTTTTAGAAAGAAGGACTCTGGACTAGGAAGCTTGCTTTGGGTGGATTGAAGTTCCGGGTTGAGCTTCGGAAAGGAAATTCTACTTCTTCTCAGTTCTTGGCTATTCTGAATCAATCTTCAGGTAAGGGAAGCTAGATTGTATGTTGTTTGGTTGTATGTGAGTTTAGGAACTCATATGGAGTTGTATAATTACATTGAGATGTATGTTGAGTAGAAAGTGAAATGAAGAGATGCATGTTGAGTATAGTGTTGTAAACTAAATGAGTAGTTGTGCCAAATAGAAAATGCGTTGAATACATGGTATGTTGCTAAAGTTGCTATATTTATGTGTGGATTATTTATATGTTGTAAAATATGATGAAATGATAATGTTGTGAGTTGTGAGAAGCATGATGTGAAATGTGTAGACGTGTTGAGATTTATACAAAATTTATTAGTAGACCATGTTGTTAAGTTGTTAGAGAAGAGTTGTATGTTGCTATAAAGTTGTATGTTGTGCCATGTGTTGAAAAGATATTATTTTATGATGATTGAGTTGTAAATTATGAGTTGAGCTAATAAGCTGTTGAGTTGATTGTGTTGTTTAAAGTTGAAATGAAATGTTGTGTTGTTAAAATGTGTTGTTAAATAGCGTTGATGAGTTATTGTGCTGATATACCATGTTTTTTAAGTTGAAAGTTGATTGAGATGATGAGTTAAAATTTGTGTGTTGTTTAAGTTGTTAAGCTGAGCTGTGTTGATGAGTTGTAAGCTGATTCAGTTGTGATGATAAGTTGTTGATCACTAGGACTAGAGGAGATGTTTTCGAAGTTGCTCATCCCATTGTGCGGATTGAGATATTTGTGGTGCTCTGAGAGCCCAATTTGTTGAAAACCCTCCTTGGGAAGTTGTCCCTTGGAGTGGACGTTGTGTTGTTCTCCTCTAGGACTTAGTTGGTCCTGTGTGTGGGCAAGGTCGAGGCACACGTGTACAAAGTGACCACGGTATAGGGGCAAGGTCGAGTTATACCGATTACAAAGAGACCACGGTATAGGGGCAAGGTCGAGCTATATCGATTACAAAGCGACCAATTTGAGTAAAGTACGAAGTCGGGAACTTAGTTCCTAACCGAGTACTATACTTCCTTGTTTAAGTGGCAAAGTCTGAGAAATCGTTATCGTGTTGTAGATTTCTATCCAAATTTGTTGTTTACCTAGCAAGCCCAAAAAGGTTCTGTGTTATCGGTTCGGTAAGACCTAGCCACTTAGACTACTTACCACGTTGTAGGAGATCCCCGAGTTAAAATACGTGACGACGCATAAGTTGTTGATGAGTTGATTTGTTGATGATAAGATTTGTATCTATGTTGTTGTGTTGTTAAGCTGTGATTGTGTTGTATGTTGATCCTGTTGAGGATGATGATAATGTTGTTATGTTGTAAGTTGCTTAATTGTATACAAGTTGATGATGATGCTAGTGTCGCTAGATTACCTGTGTTGTAAGTTATTTTAAACATGTGTTGTTGAGAGGTGTGTAACACATGTGTTGGTTGTTGTTATGATGAATATGCTAAATATTCCAATGGTTTGTACAGTAGTTTCCTTAAAGTGTTGATACAGCGTTGATATGTGGACATAGTCTACAAGGTTGCAAAGTGGTCTCTGTGTAGCCCACCTATCAAACCAAATGGATGAGTTCCCTTCTCCAACCCAAAATATAAAGCCTGGTTCAAGAATCTTAGTGGCTTTGATAATGGATTGCCAAGTTTCTCATTTCAAGTACAGATTCACCCTTAAGGTATTTGGAATCTAATAGTTTAGTCCAAAGCTTTTGTTTCTCTCCAATAAGGTCCCATACATGTTTCCCTAGAAGAGTCATATTCACATCTCTGGTTGGTCGGATACCATGGCCTCCATTTTTCTTAGTTTTTGTCACCACTTCCTAATTGGCCCAATGTTTGTGATGAACACCCCATATAAAGGTTCTTATACATCTGTCGGTATCATCACAAACACTTTGTGGGAGCCAGAGGTTGTGCATGATATAATTTGGTATGGTGTTCATAATTGAGGATGCAAGAACAACTCTACCTACTCTACCAAGAAGGCTTGTTTTCCATCCCGCAAAATTAAAAATGCAATTTATCAAAAATGCAATTTATCAAAAATGAATTTGAAATAAGATTTTTTGATTCTTCCTATAAAAATTGGGAAACCAAGATATTTACCAATATCTATAGTAGGGGAAAAGCCAAAGATGTTTCTAAACTTGTTAATCTTGGTACAATGGATATTTCTAGATGTATAGAATTTTGTCTTTTGGAGGTTGACTTGTAATCTTGAGGCATGGCCAAAATCATTCAAAATTTGTGTTATTAGTCTAACCTGTGCTGATTTTGCTTTGGTGAAGAGTAAGCAATCATTAACAGAGAACAAATGCGAACCTCTTTTGAAATTTGGATAGGTTTCCAACTATTATCTTGAACTCTGGCATGGATTAGAATTGCAAGTTTCTCTATGCATAAAACAAATAAATATGGTAATAAAGGGTCATGTAACACCCTGATTTTTATACAATTATATTAATAATATGGTAGTATTTATTTTAATGTTTTAATGTGTTTATTAGAATAATTTTTAATATTATTTAGCTATTTGATATGAGCTTTATTTTTTATATAAAACATATTATTTTTACAAAAAGGGAGAAGTCTATATGTTTGGTAGCAAGATTGACCCCAATCCCTTGCCTGATGTATGCCTATAAGAAAGTTTTCTATTTTGCTTTCTGATTGTTTTGTTGCGTTTCTTGTATAATTCTGAGTATGAATATGTGTTTAATTTTGAAATTAGATATGTTTGATAGCATGATTGACCCTCAATCCCTTGTCTGATGTATGCCTATAGGAACAAGCACTTTATGTAAGTTTTATATTTTGCTTTTTAATTATTTTGTTGTGTTCTTTGTGTGATTCTGAGTGTGGATATGTGTTCAATTTCAATAATGGATATGTGTTGGTAGTAGGATT